ACAACTATTCCCTCCCCCCCCCCCCCCCCCAAGTCCCGTCTCACTTTTCGGTAAACCTTGCCAACGTTGTAGGTGAATTCAAATGACAGTGGAAGTTTTTCTGCATCAGCCACTTTTATATCAAGTTTTTATATCCAGCACTTTAAATTTAAAAAAAAAATGTGTTTGCACATAAACTCTTCTGAAAAGTGAAGACTAATTTATTATCATGTCATTATTAGCACAATCACAAAAGGGGTCACTGGTCTTCCCTTTAATTTCTGTCACAGGCTGCAGGCCGCATTATGCTGAATCAAGGATATGGGAAGATAATTAACACAGCATCTATGGCAAGTTTAATAGGTGAGTGATGAGAGCTAACAGTTGTGCTTCAGAATCCATATTTTAATTACTACCAATGCTATTTGAATCAATTAAACCTGTATTGGGAAGGAGTAAATCACTGACACTTTGTATTAGGGGAAATGTACTACAAAATTTTTATTGATATCATTTTTCAACATTTATCTGTCCTCTCTGTTTTAGAGCACTTATTACTTTTTATAGAAGAGGTGGAGCTTCTCTCCTCGAGCCTGACACGTTTATTGTATAAGAAAGGTGTTAGTTTAAGCCCTAATAATTTCAGTAAAACGTATCAACTTGCAGAAAGCGGTGCCCTTTCCGTGTTTACAGTCCTTCCAAACGCTTTTGCTGGAATACCCTTTGTTAGGTTTCATTATTGTTGCCAACAGGTGTCTCCACTAACGCTGCTGGATCAGCAGTGTCGTCAAAAGAGCCAATAAACTATTGTAACATATGGAATGAAATCCCAACTGCTGAGCTAATCTGGAAGGCAGTTACATGCTGGTGAACTGAGGCCCATGTAACAAAAATTGATCAATTACACAAATTAAGCATAGCCCTTTAGGAATTTATTTTATTGGTCTGGACATCTGTTGCAGTATTGTCCAAATCCAAAAATCAAATGGTGCCTTGGGTTGCCAAGCTAGGCAAGAAAATCTAGTAGCTATAAAAGTACAACTGAAACCCCCTATATTAATATCGGGTCCATCTGCTGAATGTTACATAAATATTCAGCCTTTTTATTTTCCTTGGGAATAACATTTATTTTTACGGTGCCCAGTTTGACATTCTATGACATTCTGTTCAGTTTATTGCACAGTAACTTTGAATGTTTCTTCAAAAATGCATTTATAATGTTGTTGTTAATCTTTTATTTCAAGGGTCTTTCCCAGCTGTTTTACTTATGGCTCTCCAGAAGAGTGGCCCCTTTTCCCCAAGTCGGTAGGGTTGCAAAGCTCGCAAATAAAACCACCAATAATAATAATAATAATAATAATGGCAAGAATTTATGGCGTTTAAATATTTTCAACTTTTGCTCTGGGTTACGTGCAGTGCTTAACACAATGGGGGTCTGTTCCTGTACCTGGGCTCCTCTAATTCATATTCTCTTAATAAAGTATAATTTACTGGTTAGCACTGGATATGGTTAAATGTTACTCAGCGCCTCTGGGACAGATCCTCAGCTGGCATCGAGTGCCAGAACTCCAATAACTTGGCCCAGTGAGGGCTGGAGTATTTTCCTCTGCTTTGCCTCTCTGTTCTGAGGCATCCATTATTTAAATAAGCAAGGGATGTTCATTCCCAAATAATATCCCATTACAACAACCTTACTGAAATGGTGACATGAAGGTTGACTGCTTAGTAAGTGTAAATCAGCCTAGTGTACTACATTACTACAGTTTTATATACAACTATATGCGTAGTTATACAAATCAAGGTCTGGGCCTCAGTATTACTTCTCTGAGTCTGGTTGCCCATCTGTAAAATGGGGCTAACAGTACTGACCTCCTTAGTGAAGTGCATGTATAAAACTATGTATTATTCCGACTGTCACAAAAGAGTATTTCTAAGTGATGCTGGAAATAGATTGAAAAATGCTACGGAAGGTGCACTGAAATGTCAGTTAAAGTTAATCCAAGTGGGCACGATTAGATCAGTCGTTAGGACAAGGTGGAATGTGTTTACCTTGTGAACCTGTTTGAAGCTCGGCATTAAAAAAAATTCTAGCAGTTATAAAAGTACAACTGAACACCACGATGTTCATATCATGTCCATCTGCTGAATGTTAAATAAATATGTTGGTTGGTTGGTTATTTAAGTATGTTGGCCAACTGGCATAGTATGGAATGTTACTAGAAATAGTTAGTCAATGCTTTTTATTTTATTTTTTTCTTGGTTGAGTCCTTCTGTATTGATGCAAAAAATGAGGAGAAGCTTAGTGGGTTCATTCTATTGCATAAGTTCTAGACTGGTTTCCCCTGTCTGTTGCTCTAAACCAATCTAATTAACTGGAGATAATAGAGGCTGAGATGCTGCCTGCAAATTTTGAGCAACGCCAAGCACTTCACTGCAATTATTCCATATATACAGCCGTATGGCAGAGAATAAGTGCTGCTGGATTTATATAGGGGTCACTGAGATCCTTAATATTTGCAGTGAATAGCTTGATTGGTAAGAATATGTGTGTGTACGTGTATATATATGTTATGTATGTATACACACACATACACACACTTCCCACTCATATTAGGTGACTATGATGAGCAGGACAGAACCCCTCCTTTATTGATCCAGGTAACGGTAGCCCAATGTCAGGAATTTTAAAGTACAACACAGCTGATGTGGGCTGTATTTTTCTAAGCTTTGCCTTCCTATCTCTGCAGTGTGTGAAACACAAGTGAATTTCCCCTTAGAGCCTGGAGTGAGATTCAAATATTTCTTGACTTTCTTTCCTGATACGCTGGTCCGGAGGACTTGGTGTTTCTAAAGAGGTTTTGTCCCTTTTATGATAGGAGTTTGGGGCAGGGGAGGACGGTAATCCTGGTGTCCTTGGGCCCACAAGAGATCCCATTGAAAATGATAGCATAAATAAGGAGGTTGCAATGTGATGCTCTAATAGAAAAAGACTGCCCAGCATGTGAGCCATCAGCTTTGTAACATCCTTCGCCTCATTCTCGAGTGTTTTCAATTAAGTGTCTCAGGAGGTGTATACTTTATCTCCTAAATTACCTTTCGGCACCATTTTTGTGAAGACAAAAGGCAGTTACAAGAGGGGGACTCTTGAAAATATCAACGGAGCTCCTTTCCCAAAATCAGAAAGCTAATACTGATATCTTGCAACCATGCTCTCTCTTATCCTATTCATACAACCACGGCAAAACCTCTGCTGAGGAAGCTGTGAAAGCCCTTGTCCTCCTTGCAAAGTGCAAGTGATTTATCACAAACAGGCACATTTGGAAAGTTTAGCAAATACCTGCATTTGGGAGGTGATGAGGTTAACTACCAAAGTTGTACGTAACTTGGAGCTGCTGCATGGCAATTAATCAAGAAGTTATATCCCACTCCTTTTCGACAGCCCACACAGAGTGCTGCATCTGTGGTGTGATAGCCAAAAATAAATAAAAAAAATAAGTAAAATGTAGTATTTTAACTAATAAAACCACTAATACATTTTAACTGTTTTGTTTTGAAAAAACCCTTAATATTTAATGGATGTAGGTTTGAATACAAAATATTTTGTGTGTAACAAGTGAGTTAATCATTAGTTATCTTTACTACATGCATAAAGAGTTAATGCTAGCTATGCACATGCTTAAATCTAATATCACATTGAAAATAATGGACTCTATGCATATATTTGAGTCTTTTCAGGATGGGGCCTATGCCATTTCAGTGCTTGTATAAAATTCTGCAGCATTGTCACTTGTTTACCACCGTCTTCCCATGCTTTATATTGCAACACTTAGACTCAGTGGGTTTAGACAGTGAAAATGTAGCTGTATAGGGGAATTTACCAAAGATGGTGATGTAAAACTAAGCCAATTCCACTCTTCTTTTCAAACTCTGGATGGTTTGCTGTATTTTCTGTCCTGTATTCTCCAGTTATTGCAATTCTTCACATGAAACTAAAACCAGTTTTGAGAAGTCAATACGACCAACATAGTGATGCGCATACCTTCGAAAATACAATGTTACTGCACACAGGCTGTTTAAAAGATGTGTTTTGTTATCTCATGGATGATATTTAGTGCTACCAATCTTTCCTGTGTGTGTATGTGTATATGTGTATATACGTGTGTGTGTGTGTGTGTGTGTATAGACAGAGAGAGATGTCTATATATAGACAGATAGACATCTCTATCTATATGTATAGATAGATAAATATAGGTATTGATTGATCGATAGCTTGATAGATGGATAGATATAGGTATCGTTCAATAGATATAGGTATCGATTGATAGATGGATAGATATAAGTATCGATCAATAGATAGATAGAGATCAGTAACATCTAATATTAAAAACCAGGTGTTTACATTTCATGGCTTTTTAACAACTTTTAAACAGGTCACAGTGACAGCCAGGGAGCTGAAACCACGAAGCAGCAGCAGCTCTTGGAGGATGCAAATTGTGCTAGGCGTGCTGACTTCATTTGAGCAGGGTGGAGTTGTGACAGTCGACACCAACTCAGGATCCGTCTTGAAGGCACTTTCTTGGGAACAATGCAAGTCTGAGAGCTGAGGAAAGGGGTAGAACCAACAGAACACGCTGCGCTAACAAGTTTGAACATTGTAATTAGCAAGCCGATCATTTTCCTGTGTGACTGACATGTGACATCTTTGGAACAATTTCAAAAGCTTCAGATTTTAGTGCTAGGAGTTTTGAATTTTTTGGGACACCCATCTCCACACACACCTGATCAGATAATATGGTGTATTCACATCAGAATATATTTGGAAGCTATATATTAAGTAGGGTAATTGGTTCCAGACAGTTACTTGAGTGTATGTAACGTACATGTGTGGGGCTGTTTGTGCCTATTTTGTCTATATTTATTGGATGCAGCAAAATGTTTGGAGTTTGTATTTTTAATCTCTCTTTTTTGCTGCTTCAAAATCTGCATCTGTTTTATTTCTCTTGTTTCTTCAGTTTTTTTCACTGTCCAGCTGTTGATGCAAAAATACTAGAATGGGGAGAAGAGAAAACCCAAAACAGATTTAGAGGTTTACTATATGTTAACTGTTTTCTTTATGATATCTACCAAGCACCAGGGGAAAAGGACAAATCTTTCATCTCAGTGTTGACAACTCTCCTTGCTGTGGTCATGGTCCCCTGTACACAGTAATACATGGAGAAAATATCTTTTATGTGCCTGAATTTCTTCTAGTTCCTCACCCACAGAAGCAGTTGGCATATAATGCATCAAGAGCTGGAGTTTTAAAATTAACACAGACATTAGGAACTGAAAGGATTGACAAGGGGTAAGAGTCAACTGCATTTCCCTGTAAGTAAAATGTAGTCTCAATTTATAAAGTACAGAGGGGAATGAGATGTTGTAAGAAGTGTTCGCTGCTCAAATTAAAGGAAAATATCTAGGAAAACAAAGTTCCTAATTAGCAGGTGGATTGCATCCCTTTTTATTTTGTCTTCTGCTTAACAAAGGTTTAATCACTTAGAACCCGAGTCTGTTCCTTTGCTGTATATACTCGGGGATTTGAGAAGAGGTTTTAGCATTTGATAATAGGTTTTCCAAGAACATGAAGGGTAGTTTTTAGCATTTCTCTTCCAGATGAAATATTTCCTTAGTTCTGTCCAAGCCTTCTGTGGTGAAAGAAAAGGCTTTTGACACTTAATAGACAATACTTTTTTTCTTTCTCTTTAGACAAATATATGTGCACTTTAAAAGCTACATTGTAGTGCTGTAATTGAGACAGCAGTTCTGGCAATTACAGGATACCTACCAATAATTTTGTTTAAAAAAATGCAAATGACATTTTACCTAATTTTTGAAGGCTCAAAAATGTATGAAAGTATATGGGTTTTTAAAAAAAAAAAAAAAAAGAAAGAAGGAAAAATCGTGAAGCATAGTTCTTTGCCTCACTTCTTTCTCACGCACACACACATCACCCATACATATTATTAAACAATTAACGGTGCATGTTAGTACTAAGCAGAAACCCAAGTGAGTAGCATTAATTGGAAGTGGTCATATTATGTAATCCACTGAAGAAAATTGGAGTAAGAAGGAAAGAGAGGATTTTAACCTGGGAGTTAAATTGCAATAATGGGGATTATAATATACATCGACATAGGAAAAATAAATTAAACATCTTAATCTATAAACTAGAGAAAAACATCACAGAGCTCAGTTGCCGATATCTTTTATTTTAACTGTTTGCCTGCTCTAGTCAGAGCTGAAACTGAAAAATATTTTGGTAACCTTTATTAATGTAGCTGGTGCATTAATGTCACATCCACAGTAATTATGGTTGGAAAGGCACCAAAGTTAGACGTTACTTTGTTCTAAAAATTCCTGTAAAGTCTGTTTTTTTTTTGGGGGGGGGGGTTGTATATCATGGCAGGGGGTCGGACTTGATGATCTACTCAGGTCCCTTCCGACCCTACAAACTATGAAACTATATCCATAATATATTTGTAGTTAAATGGATTATATTTTTGGAGCGAGTTTGGAAAAACCCGGCTTTGCCACACGCGGTCTTAGCACGGAGAAAAAGACAGCCGCCCTTTTCTTCTACTTCTTAAAACAAAGTAGGGGTTTAATTTTACTAGTTCTTATTTGTACTAGACTAATGGTTGTCAACCTTTTAGCTTCATGGGACCCCTTGATAGACCCAAGGCACCCACTGGAAAATGTCAGCTCTTAGTTTTCCTTTGATTTTTGACTACAAAAAAATACTAGAGCAATTCTTCCCTGGTGATCAGTGAGAAGACCTGCAGAGAGCCCTGCTGTAAAGCTAAACGGTTATAAACTATTTGACAGCCACATAGGCAAGACCAGAAACCTGTTAAAGAAGTTCAGTGGGCTCTGGCTTAGGCCTGTATCTTCCACAATTATCCTGGACACTTATTAACAATATTCTAAGGCAGTGGTTTTCAACCTTTTTCCATGTACAGATCCCCAAAACATTTTGTACAGAAGCACATACCCCTCTGAAAATTTCAAATAGAGGTGTGGACCCCTTTGAATTGTAAGTGTGGGTATTCACAGATTGACCTTAGTCAGATTCACAGATTGACCATAGTCATCTTTTGCAGATCCCTTAGACATAGTCTTCGGACCCCCAGGGGTCTGTGGACCACAGGCTGAAAATCACTGTTCTACGGTAAGGAGCAATAGACGCTTAAAACTGCTGGTGCCGGCATGTTTTTGAAGCGCTGTCCATCAAAAGCAAATGTGCACATGCTCCTTTCAGTGATTGAATTTCCGAACTCACTTTACCTCCCTGAAAATGTGAACAGATACACCGTGGCCTTTAAAATAAACTGTAGGTTCAGGCTTGTACTCGGAAATGCAGGCACAGCTAGTGAGGGAAATCTTGGAGTCCTGGCTTTACATGGCCCTGGACATTTTGAGGTCCCCAGTGCATAGTGTGAGGGCTCAGTAGCTAGATAGACCTGTCACTCAGTGTTTTGCTGCTGTTGGGGGTTGAAGATTTGGTCGACTTGCACAGGTTTCTCTGATTGCTGCAGCTGAAATCCTGGCACAAAGTCCTCATTATAATGTGCAAAGAGTTCAATAAAAGAAATTGTGGGAAGTCCCTGAACCATTTGAATTGGCCCAATTCAGCAAAACACATGCACATTCTTGGGCAGATCAGTAGTTGCATTGAAATGGGACAGTTTGCAGGTTCATAGTCAAAAAGTGTTCCCCATCTTATCCACTGTTCTTCCTGAACAATGATGAAGATGTAATCCGAGTCAGGGCTACCCCAACTTCGGACTCTATTGTATTCAAAGCTAACCTTCAACATCATTTCAACATGCAAATGTTGCCTCCCCCCTATTTCTTGTCATGTTTTATCAACTTAATATTCTAGTGAGTGCATAAAACTTGGGCATTGCAATACATAAAACTTATCAATGCATAAAACGTTATGGCAGAGACCTTAGCATAATTTATTGCATTTATAAAATTTAACATACAGACCTTTCCTCCTGATCAGGTAATCCTCTCATTTTAAATAATTCTCTAATACACTCTAGTTTGGTTTTTTTTGAGAGAGAGACAGAGAAAAGTTCATTTCTAGCTTGGGGGTATTTGTATTGTGGAACTGGTTAGGCAAACTATTTTTGGATTTGAACCAAATCAGAAATGGCCAGTGCTAGTTCACTAGTCCACAAAAGAATCTGTTACTTAGTGGGCACGTCTACATGAGCTGCCCAGTGTGCAGTTGTTACTGCGCAGTCATTTAGTACTTGCTTACGCACGTGGTTTTTGCCCAACGCTACTGCGCGGTAGCATCTCGCCCAGTAGTGTGAAGAGCCATTTAGCTCTATTGGTGGAAGGCCGCCATCTTATTAACAATTTAAGCTTTGATACAAAATTTAACAATGGTGACATAGACTTGATCCTGATGGCATTGACATCAGTGGTCAAATTTCCGTGGTTACCAGCAGATATTGAGCCATACCATTTAAGGTATTATACATTCTTGGAATTTTAACTTTAACAAGGAAGACGTTGATGGAGAATACTGGGCACGTCAGCATGTGATGCTATGTTGCCACAGCAATATGCCACGGTGACATAGTGTCCATAGGCAAGAACCATGATGCTGCAGCTACATCGCCGTAGCAACGCACAACCTTGTTATAGTGTCACTATGCCGACATAGAGCCTAAAAATAACCTTGCACGGCATGCACGGTGCAGTATGGGCTACTACTGCACCGTCTTTTAGTACTTCCAAAAGGAAGTACTAAATGATGATGCAGGAACAATGGCGCCATAGCAACATGCGTAGATGCACCCACTGAGTACGTGCAATTTCCCTGTTGGTTCCTGAAGGAAGAAGGCGCTGTGTTCTGAAGCTCTTTGATTTGGGCAGGGTGAGCTCACAATCTGTGTTCCCCGTTGCCTGGATTATCTGATCCCTGGTGAAGGGCTAGTTTCGGTCACCCTGTGCCATGCTAATCTGTGCTCTCACTGTGGATTGCTCAGGTAACACTGGATTGCTAACTGTCCCTGGAAGACCTTGTCAGCTCCTTCAACAGGAGCACCATGCCCCATGTATGGTTATTCTACTAACCAGCTCTACTTGCTTCCTCCATGGTATCTTCAACTCCTTGTTCTACAGCTAATGTTTATGAAAAATCCAGCCAGCTCTCTAGCCTGGAGCATTTACAAGCTCTATCACCCCCCCCAGGCATTGAGACTCTCAAGCTTTTGACCTCCTGTTTCACCTGCAATCCAGCAAATGGTAGAGATTGTTATATTACTAGATTAGCCAATGGAACCATTTCCTGCTCAGCGTTGGAGCAGGAGCAAACTGTAAAGATAACTATTGGGTATAAATGGGCAGAGGTGAAATCAGTCAACATTTTCCAAGTATGGAGGGACTGACGACCATGCACAATGAAGAGCCAAGGGAGAACAGGCACAGAGCTGTAGCAGGGGAAGAGCTAGGAAGGCCTGTATCACCTGAAGGCGTTGCAGTTAAGCAGCATTACTGGTCACATACAGACATTACACTTGGACTGGTCTAAGTGATCGGAAGGTGATCTAAGCCCGTAGCTGTACAGAAGTTTGGTGCACACCGACCAGTCTAAAAATGCACAAGCAGTCTAAGACGGACCTGTTTCGAGGTACCCTAGGTTGATCTAGGTTAGACTGGTGCATCAAACTTCTATACCGATTCGCTATCCCTATTAAGCAACAGTCATTCCTGTTAAGAGTCTTTGGACTTAAATCTAATTCCTTGGGAGATGTCCCAATTAAGTGGATTTCTTGATTAAACACTTCCCTATTAAGTGGAGTGTACTTAACTCATTCAAATTAATAACCCATCTGAAAGAAATCAGCTTACATGCAGCTGGAAACTTCCCTCCCTCCCACCCCCATATGGGGATTGAACGCACGTAACAATTCAAGTTAAGTATCTAGTAAGTGATATTTTTCCTAATGTGTGTCTCGGAGTGGAAATGTTTTAGGCAATTGTTTTTTTATCCTAATGTCTCAAATTGTCCTGTATATCAATAATGGAATATTGATGCTCATGTCTAATGTTAAGGAACCAGCAGTTTGATATAACATTGACAAGCAACAGAAAGTACTGATAGGCTCAGCACAGCATACAAGATGAGGTAGGGAATTAATGCATTGGCACTTGTCTTTGCTGGAACTGATCAGAAGCCAACTAAAATCTGCCTAAAAGGGTTCTACAACATTAGATTGCCCAACTTGGCACCAAACCTTTTCCAGAAGATGTCGTATCAATGACATGCCTAATATTTATAGTGTCATCAGTATGTGTGTTTGCAACTTTAAGTTTTCTGCTATATTTTATTCTCATTATAAAAATTGTCAAGGCTGTTTTCTTTAAAAGCAGACCTTTTACTACTTGGAACAAAACCAAAGAAAGGGCAGCTGAAGGCAATGCTCAAATAATCTGTAGGTTGACATGACTGTGTATGTATTCTCCAGACTGTTTTTCTAAATGGATTAAAAATATATATATATTTATATTTGAAATCTATATTTTCTTTATGGATACGTGTAATGAAACATATATATACCATGAAAAATG